TATACAAATATACAATCGTCGATGTTCTAATGAATATTTTCATGTTATAATCTGGTATTTTAACCAAATAATTATTATTGTACACAACGGGGCACGGGGGCRAAAKWATWMTTWYGCCCCCRTTAAATCAATGTACGGGGGCGATCGCCCCCTTTGTCCCCGCGGAGTCGGCGCCTATGATTATGGTTATTTTGCATTATAATATTTTGTAACACGTATTGTTCATTTATCATTTGTAAATTTGTAATTAATTGTATATTATTTTTATTTTTAGGAAAAATTGTTATCAATATTCCCCCAACTAAAAATCACTGTGTCTAAAAAAGCTGATTCTTTGTTTCCAATTGTAAGTGCTGCTAGTATTTGTGCCAAAGTAACTCGTGATGCTGCATTAAAAAATTGGAAATTTGTTGAAAGACCTGGGGAAGATGTTGATTCAAATTGGGGAAGCGGATACCCAAATGGTATAACAAAATAATTATAAATACCAATGTTTGTTGTTTTGACTATAAGTTTAGAATGTAAAAACAAAATGTTAAATTTAATATATCTTTTACAACCTAGATCCTGTGACAAAAGAATATTTAAAAAAAAACATTGATCCGGTATTTGGTTTTCCTAGTATTGTAMGATTTTCTTGGTCTACAGCAGAATTGGTACTAAAAAGTAATGCAGCACAAGTAGACTGGTAAGTATATGTTATTGCATTAAGATGAAATTATAAGATCATATGATCTGTGTTTAATTTGGGTTTTATTATAAAAAATTGAAACAAATTGAATAATTTGTAAATGAAATATTTAATATCTTGTGTAGGTCTGATGAAGAAGAAGATGAAGATGAAAAATTAGTACCTATAACATCATTTTTTGGTCAACATAATAAACAAGTCCAACAAAAAACACCTTTTTTTGATGATAGGGGTTTAATAGTTACAACTGAATTTTAGTAAATGATAAAGCCATTATATATTTGTATATTTAATCTAAATAATTATAGCTTTTTTTCGGCTCGTATAATGTTTACTTTATTAAGTTACTTATTTAAATTTATAATTCAATATTAATATATTATATGYAAATTATAATTAACATTGCTGGATACTAGTTTATGTGTACTTATTTATAAAAATTAAACTTTAGTAAAGATTCTGTATAGTTATATTTTCCCTGTATTTTATATTTGAAATATAGTGAGATTCTTGCCATTGTATTTATTGAATTAATTACTACATAATATTTATTTATTTTTGTATACACTTCTGGACTGTAAAAGCTTAAGCAGACTAATAAAATTTAAATTTAATGAATATTGAAACATTTTTAAGTCTTCTAGATTTTTGAGGAAATTATCAAAAGGAAAGGGTTGGTAGGTAGATCCTATGGTGTAATTTTTTTAGTTGAGATTATGAGTTGGTTGAGTACTTGTTATTAAAACTTAAAAATTTTAATTCATTCAAAATTTAACATTTTTAATAATCAGCTCAACTTTCATTTTTAGGAGGTGGGCGATAAAGAGTAAATGTGTAAACATTATGATCTTTTCCAGGCCAAAAAACATATAAACTGTTCATTCATCAAAAAGTGTTTTGTACTATATTTTTAATTTATTGAATAAACGTAGTATAACAAGTGGTTATTTGTATAAATAATAAAAATATTGCATAATAATTAGATATAGATTATATTATTTAATATTAAAGGATATTCCTTGAAATTATCATTTCTTT